CCTCTGCAGCCTGTGCTTTACAAATAAAGTGATTATACCAAATAATAGCAATGTGTTCCCATTAATTCACAGGATTTCTTTTCAAACTCCAGCCTGCACCCTGCCTGCTGCACCTGCAGGCAGAGAGGGAAGTGCTGGGGTGTGTGGGGTGGGAATGGGAGTGAGCAGGGGATCACACGAGGCAGAGGGATGCACAGGGGTGTGCAGGAGCACTGAAGGGGGGGACATGGGGGGATGCTCTGCTGAATAAACTCTGCAGGGTCTGGGTGTTTCCCTCCACTCTGGATCAATGCAGAGCATGCCTGTGACTCCAGCTCTAAAAACTGCATTTATGAAAATACAAAGATGAAATTTCCAGTGGTTCAAGGGCACTCAAGTCCTCTTCACCATTCACAGCTAGGATTCTCTGTACTTATTTCTAATCAGTTATTTCAGATTTTTTTAAAAAATATCTCAACCCTCAAAGACAAATTCCTGGACACAATCCCTGCTAACGAGAACTCACAGGTGACAGCATAAACCAACGATTCACAGGGCACATTCCATGTAACACAATTGTCATTCACTTTGCTGATGCATTCCCAAAAATTCTAAGTGTAGAGGAAGAGGAAAGCCACCCAAGCCCATCTAGGAATAAAATGTGAAGCTGAGAGGAACATAAACAAGTGTCACTGATTCATGGGGACAGTCCATGACTGGGAGTGGGGTGAGACCAGAGTGTGTTCAAACCCAGCCCGAACTGTTCTGTGCCATTGCTATAGTGTGTTGTTGCTTTTAAAGAGCAGTGTGAAAGAAAAAGCATCAACATTTAGAGTCAACCCAAATACCTGGTATCAAAGGAAATCTGAGCCTGTGAGTATCCCTATCCACCCCATAGTCAATGCATAGAGGAGTCAATGCAAGAGGCCACTTTGGGGAGCACCATCATGCTTCACCACCCTTTTCCCCTCTGTGCTGAGTGAGCCAGCCAAGTGCAGCACTTCACTAGAGATGCAAATAATCCCCCCTCAGCTTCCCTGAGCACAGAGCAGTCTGGGATGCTGAAGCTAAGCACTATGAGAATACCATCTCTCAGGTACTTGACATAGCCCTATATTGGTTTCTTCTAATTCACAGAAAAAGTCTGTCTGGCTCACTAAACTACTGAGATTCAGGTCTATGTTATGTTTTATTCAGATCTCAAATACTTGCAAAAGGAGAGATTTCAGCTTTCGCTAAGCTCCACTGCCAATTCAGTCTGATTTAAGGCCTATCGGGACCTTTTCTAGAGGAGCAAAGGAAATCAATCTACCCCCATGTTACCTCACCCTCGGCTCTGCTGGGGATGGGGATGTGACTCTTTGTAGATTTGATGGGTGACACCCTGTTTCTCTCCCTGCAGGCTGTGCTACCCCACAGCAATCAGATCAGTGGGCAGATATCACTGCATTGTAAACCACAAACCAGGTCTATTTAGCAACATAAGCTTGGAGTAGCTGCTCCTGGATCTGCTCAGAGAAAGGAGTTGTTAGTACAACTGTTTTTCCAGGAGAATCAAGATCAGCAGCCACCTGCCAGAGGGAAACATTGTAAATCTTCCTCTTAACCCTGGAAACCAGTAAATTATTCAAGGCTTTATAGTTTAGATATACATCTAAAAATCTCTCAAATAACCACCAGCATGGTAGAAAAGCAAGTTCTCAGCTCCAGCAGGGATTATCTCAGCAAGGAGCAGACAATGCAGAAGATGTGGAGGCGCAACAGAAATTCCCAAAAGTCCCTGCTGAGGAATAGACCTGCAGCTGGATGGACTGGGCTTATAAAACCCCAACACATGGACCATAACAGAGGCTTCTCTCAACTGTTGTCACTCCACTGCACTGTCCCTGCTGAGATGGCTCTTTGCCCCCATGCTGGTCTTGCACACAAACCCTCCCTGAAAGCCAAGACTCAGCATTTCCTTCTTCACTGGTTCCATCAGCCAAGGGATAGCTATGTCAGAAGTGTGACCGTGTCTCCTTAAGTCATTTACAAGCTAACATAGCTCAGAAGTGCACTCTGAACTAGATACACTCATTTTTTCGTTTCGTGTTCCCCTTTCCTCTTCTCTCTGACATACTTTTTTTAGCTAAAAACAATGGATGCTTCCACTCTGGCTCCAAAAATGCCATTTGCTATAGTCTGTCATGCAGTGTCACTGGAATCACACAGAGGATGCCTGAAAAAATACAAGTTGAGCATAAACCAAATGTCCTGTAGACCTCCAGCCACTGTAATAAGACTGACCAGGGGGTGGTTGCATGTCCCAAGGAGAGAGGAGGTGTGGCATTATGAGAAAACACAGAGAAGAAATGCAGAAATGGGGAGCAGAGGGCTTCAGCATTCAATACAACTTGAGATATCAGCACCAACTGGGGGTATTCTATCGCTGATTTCCACAGTGAGAAAACACAATTGCCTTTGGGGATGCAATCCATACAGGACATGTATTCCTGCATCTTCAAACACATACCTCCAGTGCCAGAGGTGGAGTTCCTGAACGGGTTTTGGCGAGCTGACAACAGGGATGGTGGAGCTCTGTGCCAGGCACAGCAGGCAAGACAATTGTGTCTCAGCT